ACATCTTAGACGATGCATGGTTGGATGTATATTAGAAGCAGGCTAATATATATATATATATATATATTATATATATATATATATATGCACTCAATATGCTATATAATATCCAATAATCATGGGAAACAGCTCCCTGAGATGGGAAACTGTATTTATACTAGCTTCCAAGTCTTCATAAAATTAGATCAATAAAGGCAGTTCTTTTTTAACTACCTACTATGAAATTTCATGTGCAGCTCTAGTTTTAAGTATGGATTTTGTAACAAACATTGGGAATTATTTATTTTTGCTTTATTCTTTAGCTTAAGAGGATCTTTGCTTGCTTGCAATTAATTAATTCCAGTTCCACATTTATTTATATTCATTAGTAATTTTTCTTTTGGTTGGGTAGCAAATCTTTGGAATTCTTCTCAATAAAATAAAATAAAATTAAACCAGAAAAAAATGTATTTTGGATTAAATGAGACAATGACATTATTCCTCCATGCTTATTTAACCCCTTTAAAAATCCAGTTTAATTCTGAGATGGAAAACCATTTCAAATTCGGAAGATGAAACATTTAATTTTGAAAATGTTGAGTAAAGCAGTAGTGGAAAAGAGAGAAATGAGTCTGTAGTGTTCTACCTATCAGATCTTTTTTGATATCTAACTGCACAGTAACCAGACTTCTCATGCTTGCTGTTGTAGCACTGAAGCAGCCTCTGGGGCCTGGCTGTTTCCTGTTCCAGCATCTAAGTGCTGCAAGACCACCTTCTTCCAGCAAATTTTAGTTCTGCAGGCCTTGAGATTCCACAGGTTCATTATCTCATTCTTTCACAGTTCCAAAATTCACGAGCTGTTGAAAGTAAACACACTGAAATTATTTTTAGAAGGTGGTTTGCAGTAACAGCCTGAAGAGGTAATACAAGGATCTCTTAGACAGGCAGTGCTGCATATCTAGATGAGAGATAGTCCAATTCTTCTCACACCACTGGCTGTCTCTTCACATTCATCAGCCCTTCAAATTGTGTTATAAGATTGCTGAGTGAAGAATTTTGGCTTTACACTGTGAAGAACAAACAGGTCAGCAGCCCTCGGCCACACACAGAAACTTGTAACACATATACAGGATTAATTTAGAGCAGCACTTTTTTTTTTTTTCCATTTGGGGAAGCACTCAATAACTGAGATTGTATTTCCACATATGAAACAATGTGATTTGCAAGTGACTCAAATTTAAAAATAGCTTATAAGAAAAGGCAGGGAAAATAACCACAAAAATTCCAGAAGGATACAATGTACAGGTAAGGTATTATTTAGGCTATGTGGATAATTTTAAAAGCCTACAGCTTCTTTTCTCACATTCCTTTCACCTTTATAAGATGCAAAGTTTGTAACACCACAGACAGTGCAGGAGATTGCCTTCATACCAGTACAAAAAGGGTGTGGCAACCACTGGGCCTGGTGTCTGGTGGTCATCTTAAATTTATATCACTGTACCAACACTACACTGAGATAAAGATGTCTCAAATCTTCCATCACACCACCAGCAATAGAGAGCTGTCTAAACTATGATGAATGGTACCTGAAGTGGGGACAGAAACACTTCTGGGTCTCCTTTATTCTGTATGTTCAGTCTTGTCCAAAATTTATCCTATCTAGATCATGAAAATTGGGATTTTTGGATGGGAATTAGTCTTTAGAGGAAAACCTCTAGGGCTGTGATGGGGAGATAAAGAACAGAATGTAGGGCACTGAATTGTGAAAAGTCTTCAGTGTCTTGTAGAGTAGAAATTTTCTGTGGCAAAAATTGGAGATGAGAAGATTGCACTAGACAAGGTAAGAAGCTACCCAAAATTGCAGGCATGGAATATGAGTGTTTGAAAGTCAGATCCTTGGTTCCAGCAGTGTAATACAGATAAATGTACAACACCTGGCTGTAAGCTTGGAAGCCTCCTACCTGTGTAGTATCCTGTGTGCCATCATTGTAAAAATAGCAAAGAAATACTACATCTGAAAACCATGGTACTCTTTCAACTTGCATATTTTATTTTATTGGTGTTTTTTCTGTTTAATTCCTTGTCAAGGAGAAAACATAAAGGATCATATAGGTGACAAGATAACCTCAACAGTTGTATTCACATTTGTGAAAGTATGCAAACACAGAAGAATATTCACATATTTGTCATTATACTCAGATTGTGGTGACATCTGATATCTTGGATAAATTTGGATAAAAGTGAATCAATAGTATACCTGAATAAGACAAGCCAGATGGTATGTGTGATAATGACATTTTGTGAAACTGAAATGTATTTCATTAAATAAATTACTACTTTTCATTTTCCCTAAACAAATAATTAGCATTTAAGGAGCACAGAATAGCTACTTAAAATAGCTATAAAAATATTTACTGACATTTACTTAGTTTTTTTCTCTTTCTTTTTCTTTTCACGTAGTAGAACTTCCCCCATAAATACACATTAACAAGAATCTTGGAGTAAGAAATTAAATATGTGTATAATTACATATTTATGTGTAAAATATATGATTTAAACATTTAAAGCTGTTGGCTGTTTTTTTTTTTTTAATGCTTGATTGCTTCAACCAATATCTTCACAAGAAAATAAATCTCATTGTCCCATTTCAGATGAAACACTGTCATGAGGTTCATGTCTCATCCTGTCTAGCAACAAACTTATAAGAAATGATAGTTTACTTTCTGGTCTCATGCAAGTGGTGTCACTTTAAATATTATTATTATTCTTTTTGTGCAGATAATATTTATTCTCCAAATCTGAATTGTTTTGCTTGGCTTCAAACAAGGCAGCATTATTTTTTTTCATATGGCAATACGTTTTAAATAATGAAGGAATAAGGTTCTTTATTATTGATATTAGATATTAGTTTTAAGAAACCTCAGTGAGGGCTGGAGCTGTGTAATTATTAGTGTGTACTGGTTTAGGGCAAATTTGTTAAAGAATCTGCAAAGGAGGGCCCCTCCAGAAAGCGAAACCCACACGGCCCCTGCCCCCAACCGGTTCGGGAAAAAATTCCTCGAAGAGAGGTGGAAAGAACCTGTTTATTTGACTGGCCCCGCACCCCCCAGCACACAAAATGAACAATACCCGATGACACCGCTCTGAGAAAGATGGCAAAATCAGAAAGTCTCTTTCAGGGGTGGTTGCTCTGTTCTCAGTCCCTCCGGCGCTGGGCCAGCCGCTGCAGCCAAACCCTTGGTGTTCCCTGGTCCCAGTCTGGAGCAGGTTTGAGATGGTCACAGGAACAGGAGAGGAGAAACAGTCCAGGAAGCAATGTGGACTGTTTAGCTAGAACTAGCTAATAAGCAGAGGCAGAAAGCAGAGCAGAAAAAGAGAGCAAGCAAAAGCAGCAAGCAAAAGCAGCAAGCCCAAGCTGGAAGTAAAAAAAACAGCTCTGTGTACCGCTTGTCTCTGTGTCCTGATAAGAGAAACCCAAACAAAACTTCCACTCTTCAGGGCCGGTCTTAAAGGCACAGAACAGATGAATGGGGATATACGAGCATCATAACGTCACCCCAGGACAGTGTCTCACAAATACAGAGCTAAAGATGAGCTGTTCATGCAAGTCCATAATTTCCAGGGTAAGTGGTTTCAGTGTCCCTATATGCTCCTACTCTATGAAGATAACTTCTCTCCTCCTGGGAACTTGAACTTCATGCTCTCACATATAATAATGAAATTTACCATGTGCTCATCATTTGGCTGCTCATCTCTGCTGTTGCTCCAGATCCATTATTTCAGTACTGCCACATCCTAAACCTGCCAAGGAACATGATTTCATCTCTTACAGGACATGTTAACCAGTCCTAAAGAGAGAGCAGGAGACTGCAGGAGGGCACACCACCATACACCACAAAAATTAAAGGTGCATGAGGCTTTCACCTGTTTCATTATTGTGGTGGAGACCTGAACAGTCTGACACATGTGTAAGTGTTTTTTGGGGGAGAGCATAAGGGAGAGATTGTAAGGAAAATTTATCTATGGATAAAGAAACCAAATCTTTAAATTTTTTATCTCTAATTTTTTTTTTTTGTCACATTAGGAGCTCTGTGTGGTTGATGAGGTTAGTATTGGGAAAAAATGAGAACTTCTGTATTGCAACTTATGTACAGGAGTGTTTGGATGAAACGGTCAAAAAACCTGAATTCGTGATGATCCTGTCTCCCTTTTCCCCTCCACTTTCCTTGCATATTCCAACTAAAGCTGCCAGTTTCAGAAGGTCCCAGAATAATATACACTTTCTCCAGTAATGCACAAGCCTCTGGATGAAGGAAAGTCTGGTTAATCCATTATAATGGCAGGTCTGTTTATTGATCTCATAAATTGCACTTTACTTGACCTGTCAAAAAAGCAGAATTCTCAGCATGTGCTTTCCTGCTACTCTAAGAGCCTCTCCTCACCTCGGGCAGATTTTTCCCCCCAGCCTCTCCCCCTGTGCTGGCAGCTGTTGTAAACCCTGGTCTAAATTCATTAACCTTCTTCCAAACAATCTATTGCAGTTCATCCCTGAGAAAGTGCAGATAGAACAATAAACACTCACTACTGATTTTCTTCCCTGACTATCCTAACACACCCAAGCACAAGCTGCTTACCTAATTTTCTCTTAATAGGAGGAAAATTAAAGTCAAAATCAATGGGAATTGAAATCAGCCCACACTAGAATTTCCTAATTAGGAATGCACTCATTATAGGCTATATTAATCCCTGTCTAATACCAAGGAATACTGCACAGAGTAATCTGAGTGGTACCAGACCAATCAATGGAATGGATCGGTTAAAAACAACCAAAGGGAAAGCCAGTGCTTAATGGAAAAACCTGTTCAGTGTGACATTGATTGCACATTGCTCCCACCTGAACAACCACCTGAAGTGCAGAGTTGTTGTTGCCATGCAAATGCTGTGAGTGGATCTCCAGTGATTCCTGATTGGGTAATAAGCTTTGTTTTGCTTTAAACAAATAAAATTGTGCACAGCTGCATGCCTTGGATGATGGTGTACAACTACATAGTGTTGCTGAGTTGTATCCAGAGCTAGGACAATCTGGAAGTACATTCCTGGTTATCTTTTAACTGCACCTTTCCAGAGAATGCACTTTATCTTTTAAAAAATTGTATCTTTGAACAATGCAACTTTTGATAATGTAATGTGAATGCTACAGGAAACAAAAAGGGAATGCTTTAAAAGAATCATTGACCTTTAAATGCCTGATTCCCTTTACCAATAAAAAGAGGTGAGTTCTAACTCACGTGTAATTTTATTGGAATTTTGAATCATAGGTGCCTTATGATTGACTGGAAATACCCTCTGGTTTTATTGTCTCAGAAAGAATGCAAAATCTGAAATTGGGTTTTAGGTCTAAGGCAGAGTAACTATATATTTTTTTGACCAACATAAGAAAGGGTACCTTAGAAGAAGCATTCAATTTCTAGTTGGCTAAAGGTAGCTATGATGAATCAAAGCAAAGAAGTACTGAGACAGCTGAAAGGAAGGTTTGAAAAAGTTTTGCTACATTTTTTGCAAGTTCTGCTCTCACTTGAACTCACTTTAAATATCCATTTCCAAATATCATATTACATAAATAGTTCTAAAAAACCTGTATCTGACAAATTGTCAAAATCACGTTCAGAGAGATGGCTTTGCTAAGTGTGCGGCTGCAGGTCAGATGGGGGTTCTGCCAGTTGTGCAGGGGATTGTGAGCACCCTAAGTACTTAAAAGTGCATTGCAATTTTTTCACAATAGTACTAAAAGGGGACAGTACTCCTAAGTGTTGTTTCTGAGGTATCCAATAGCATTATTTTAAATGTAAAACTATGCAGGTGTTGCAGAAATCTCTAAAAGGATATCTTGCATTTTGAGGATGGGAGATTGTCTTGGGCTTGATATTCGCTTGGGAAATCAAAATTTTTTGGTTGACTGATGAGCAGAGGCATTGGAAAGCAGAAAGAATAACAAAATTGCAGTTTTTGTATTTGTTTCCCCAGCCTTAGTAATGTTTTTATTAATAAATCCAAAGTAGTGTCAAAACATTCCCAGCCTCTGGATCTGAGAAGGCACTTTAGGACACTGTGTATGTCATGCAGCCTAGAAGGCTGTGAAAATTTAAAGGCTTGCCATTTAGATAATGCTGTCTTACTATTTTTATCTATCTAGAAGTGGTGAATCATAGCACTTTGCTGCAGTAGATGATAGGATTGTAGATTGATTTTGAATTAGTTCCACATACATGGTGAACAGAATAGGAATATTATTTTGGTGGGAGCTAATCAGATCTAGCAGCTCCCAAGGAAGGGGTTGTTCATTGCCTGGTGTTTCTCAGGAGAAGCTTTGGGTATGTTAAGGTAGCTGTAAGAAGCAGTGTGGCTGGTGGCAGACACAGACTTCTCTTTCCAAAAAGCAGTCAGTGTCTGTATTTTCTAGAGAAGAGGCAATTCTTGTAATACAAGTTCAAAGATTGATTTGAGTCACACTAGCTTAGAATAGTTCAGAAATTATTTGTGCTGTAGGAAGTCGCTGAAGTTGTTTAAGTTGCTGATTAAGGCCTTAAAATGCCTTAATTTCCAATAAATTATCACGTAATGACTGAATGGTCAGCCATTGCAGCAGCAAAACCAGTATATTGCTTTACAATGCTCCTTCTTGGCTCAGCTGTAATGTGTAGTGAACAGCACCTGATTGATGGGAATGTGATGATAATCCAGCTCCTCCACTTGACAAGCCACAGAGAACATCCAGATAAAACAGCCTGTGCTTCTGACACCCAGAAATGGCTGAAATGACTGCCAGAAGTTATTGAGCTGGAGAGAATTTTAAATGTGAGTGAATTGGGCATGAGTCACATCTTTCCACAGAGCAACTGTGGGCACTGGCTGCCAGAGCACTGGAGAAGTCAATAAGGGCCCCTTTAGAGGGAACTGGGGGAAAATTTCATAACTGACTTGGATTTGGAATTCTGCAGTGCCTCTGGGATAATAATACCCCACAACAGGCAGGATTATTTAAAGACAAGCAGCTTCAAATTGTCAATAACTCAAATACCAGCAAACTTGGGTGGTGAAGGGTGGCAGAGTGTTAATTGGTCTGGAAGCAGTATAAATACTTTCTGCATTTATCTCACTTACAAATGTTCACTGGTGATATGTTATCAGTAATTTATGATGTGCCATGACAATCGCTTACATTTCTGACAAAAATAGCAATTAGTTAGAAGAATGAGGATTCTCCTCGAATGTTTTCATCAAGTCATAAAGGGAATTTCTTTCCTTCCATGCATGACTTGCCTGTAAAAATTCTTTTAATTTGGCAGTTTTCTTCTCTTGCTTGAATTTGGTCCAGTTTTTAAACTTTTCTAAGAACCTTCCAATACTCTCATGAAATTACTTGTATTAATTATGTGCATATCCAGTGCATACATTGGCATGAAATCACGGTGACAAGTACAAAAGAAACTCATCAGTTTAATCATGGACTTTCTAGATACTTGATTCTTACATTGTTGCTTACTTGATTTTGTTTTCTCCTTCACAGACATGGTAGTTATTAACAGTCATCCAAAGGAGAAATAAAATGCGCATCAAAATTTTCAAGTGTTGCCTCACATATAGGGAGTCCTCTATAGCCCCAAAATTTCCTGCAGGACGCTTATCAGGTGCAGGAAAATGAGTGCAGGGGTCCAATTTGTTACAGCCCATTATCACAGTGCAGAGAGGGACTGCACTGTCCTCACTTCCAACCCCAGGGAAAGGCAACTGCAGCGCTGTGAGAAAAGTCAAATGCTTTCTGAAGATGATGACTGCCATGAATCCAGAAGATCTGTGATCTAACTGGTGTGGTGCCTGGAATAAAAATACTGTAAAATCCAGGCATCTTTGATATTTTTAAAAAAATTTTCTGGACAACATTATCTTTCTGTTTGCAAAGTACAGAAGTTTCAGTCATGTTGCTAAGTGCATTTACTTGTGTTACTCTGTGAACACTAGTAGAATTTGTTTGGAAAAGGAAGAGTTTGCCTACTTCTTGATGATTTTGGAGATTCTAGAAATTTGTTTCAGAAGATTTATGATATCTATGAAGATTTTTCCCTTTTTCAGAGGGAACCTGAAAACACAGATGTTTTCAGATGTTTCACAGATGTTTGTTGTAGTTGCATTCACAGGCCACCAAAAGATAGACAATGCTGGTGAAGATTCAAGTCAGATGTTACTCACTTCAGTGTGTTTCTTCTTTGCAGGTGAGCTGGAGAATGCAGTAATGAAACTTCCCTTAATAAGTTTGATAAACAGACATATTCAAAAATTATTGAAGCCAGCTGAAAGTAACTGTTTAGGAGTTTTGAGTAAGTCCTGGAGCTGTCAGATTTTAGTTATAAATGTATTTGTACTTAGTTATGTGCACACTCTTCCTTCTAGACCCACTTGTTTTGTAACAGGACTTAAAAAAATTTCACCTGGCAAGTCAGTCTTTAGCTGTAGATGGAATCTAGGATCTGAGCACCAAGTGTGGGGTGTTGAAATATGATTTAAACATAAAAGACAGAAAGTGGCACTGTGGAGGTATGAAGCACTGCAGCTGAAACGGAACAATGTTGCTTAGTGTTAGAGAGTAAACAAATGTTTTATTCCTGACAAAGGGCAGAATTTGGTCAGTAAGATCAGTCAATGGAAAAGGAGACACTGCCTTCTGATAAATTACAGAAACAGTTCTATTTTTTCAGAAACATACTTTTTAAGGGATGTATTTAATCTTTTATTGTACTCCCTTAGGCCTGCACTGCATAACAATGCAGTGGTGTGAGCTGCCATACTCAGCAGTACATGCTTTCCATTAGATCCACAAGGAACAGATCAGAAATGCCTGCAAATTAAATGGGTAAAACTAATTGCAATGGAATTTTTTTCCCAATTTTTTCTCATCCCAGGTACAGAATATATTTCTTCAGTTCTTAGAGAATAGGTGACAGACTTATTTCAAGGGTAAAGAAAATACTGCAGAAATACTGTGTGGAAACAGTGAGAATCACTGGGCTTGCTGCATCTGGATGAGTATTTGGCTCAGAGGATTCTGTTTTTTGTGAAATTGCTGTTATCTCCCAACCCCTGTCCTCAGACACTGAGCTGTTATGTCAGTGATACTAAATAAAAATGATCCAAAGTTTACAAATAGGAAAAGAATCTTCAATCTGAAAAAAAAAAAACAACTAGCAATTTTAAAACCCCAAACCCAACAAAATAACATACTAAACTATCCAGTTTTACAGTTAAAGTCATCAGGAAAAAAAAATTAATTTTGTTTCTGGAAAAAACATTCCTCCAGATCCTCTGTATGACTTTGTGTGCAGGAACACAGTGTGTACCAGAAGAGGTGACCCATTCTTTTGGACCACTTTGATGGGAGCAGTGAATTTTGGCTCCCAAATTCTCTCGGGTGTGGAAACTCTGAGGCACAGTTCATGGACCTGGTCTGTCTGCTGGAAATACTGTCAGGAAGGATAAAAATGATAATAAATTTGTTTTTACTGCTCCTTTCTGTTGTAGTAAATTTGTTCTGTATCTTTACACAAAAATGTGTACAGACCTTCTTTATAAACCCCCGGGGAGGAATTTGTGCACAAAAGTAACATTCTCTTTCTCTTCACTTATGTCTGTAGTGTCTTTTTATATTTGTGGAAGGTGTCCAACAGGTTGGAAAATTCATTGAAAACCTAAGCCAGTCAGTACAATACCGGTTCTAGTTTAAACAAAAACCAAGCAGGTTTTCCCCTTTCCAAAGCAGTGTCTCCAAAAATACTTCTCAGGCTCAGAGAGTACATTTTTGTCCTGGTTTAACTCCTTTTGTACTGAATAACAAGCAAGGCTACTTTTGCATGGCATAATACATGCCTCTTTTCTGGAAAAATACTTTTCATAGAATCATGGAATTGGTAGGGTTGCAAGGGACCCCTGGAGATCATCCAGTCCAACCCACCTGGCAAGGCAGGGTCACCTGGAGCAGGTTCCACAGGAATGTGCCCAGGTGGGTTTTGGATATCTCCAGAGGCAGACTCCATGACCTCCCTGGGCACCTTTTCCAGTGCTCTGCCACCCTCATTGTAAACAAACTGCTTGCTTGTGCTGAGGTGAAGCTTCTTGCATTTTAGTTTTTGGACATTGCTCCTTGTTCTGTCACTTAGCACCCCCAAAAGAGTCTGGCACCTGTCTTTTCTCTAACAACAGAAGAAGGTTTGAGCAGAACTATAAGAATTTCTTACATATTTAGCCAAAATCTTTGCCAGTACAAAATGAAATTCTAGTGGCGCAGAATTTGAGCCATAGCGTGTGAATCAAGGGCAGTGGCAAAGGAAATGTCATCATTTCCCTGTGATTTTTTTTTAAATATAGGGAACACATAGCGTTTTTTGACAATTGTTTTGTAAAATTTCACAAGAATTTTCCAGAATGTATTCTTACTGAATGAAAAGGTTGTGTGTATTTTATTGCTGAATAAGAAGTAGGATTGGCAAAATGAAAACATTGGTCAAATGTAAGTAGTAAAAAAAAAAAAGATCATAGCCTTTCCCAGCTAATGCCCAGAATGTTATGTGCAGATTTTTGTTATGAGAATGGACATGGTCTTTGTCTTTCCTGAACTTAAAACTTTATAAAACACCTTCCAAACTCCACAGCACACCTAAGCATACCTCCATATTAGCCACTGAGAAGGAAATTAACTTTAGCCCAACCAAACCCAGCACAGCAGTCAATCAGGAACAGCAAACCAACAACTAAAGTCTTGTCTGAATAGGTTCAAGGTCCTCCAGATATGGTTTGAGGGCGCAAACTACCCATTTTAAGCAGTCAGACAAGAGCTGAGTCTGGATGAGGGAAGTGAAAGAACAATTATCTTAACGAACTATCTATGAAGATTTTTCTCTTTTTCATCTCAAAAGTCCTTTTCAGTATTTTCAATATTCAATGTTGCTGCAGAAAGGTTCTGATAAGTAACCATTCTTTGGAAAAGCAGTTTCCCTGCAAAATACCCAACCAGCAGTACTTTCACTTAGGGTCCAGTCTGGTTCCTGTAATAGCCAGTACGAATGAGTTCACAACATCTGAATTCAATGAACACATCAAAATTACACCTTTTTGGCTTATTTTCCATGTACACTATATTACAAGAAAAGTGTGTGTGGACAGTTCAATCCTGTATGTATAGTAGAGGTGCAGCTTTCTGTGAGATAGAACATTGTGCTACTCTCAATGGGAACTTTAATTCAGGGCTAGCTAAAGCTCAAATACCTACAGTTTTACAGTAGGTAAAACTGCTGCTGTGGCCCAAGAAAGCACAAGTGAGATGCAGGAAGCACAAGACAGGAAAGGGCAAAGACAAGTGACGTAAATATGAAGAGCTGAGGGGAGCAGAGACCAGGGGACAGGGCTGAAAGTGACTGGGGAGGAGTGGGCAGCTGAAGGGGAGAGCAAAGAGGAATGGATTTAAAAAAAATAAAAAGAGAAGTAATAGAGGGGGAAGGAGAATAATCCTGAATGTACTGAGGGTGGGGAAGTAGAACAGCTTCCATCTTTGCAATGCTTCACAGAGATCTAGGAACAAAGAGCCATGACAGCTCTGAATTCAGAGCAGAGTATACAGCTGAGAACAAAAATGGCACTGATTGTAAATGGCCCAAGACACAATTTGCTGTCTTGATTTTTATTTTATTTTACTTTATGTCAAGAGTCATGAAGTCCATACATTGCAATTGTTTTGCATCTTTGACATTCCCTGTTTCTTTTTCCCTGTCAAGAGATAACTTTTTTTTTCTTGCATAAAGTCATGATTCATTTTGTATAACTCAGGAAGGAGCCTCAAGGCAGAAAACTTTCTCCTTCATTTGGAGCATCTGTTAAACGCAAGATGGAAAAAAACCAAATGGGTAGAGGAAGAGCATCCAGATCCTTGCTGTCTTTCACCCGACCAAGGCAAAAGGCTGTCCTGGCTTTAGAGAAGTTAATTTGCAGCCCTCCTCTCTCCTGTGCATACAAAGGGGTTTGTGCTGCTGGCTGCCAGGGAAGCTGGTCAATTTGCAAACTCTCTACTCTATGTTAGTACCTGTTAACCCACACAGTTTGGATCCAGATGTGCCTTTATTCCCCCTCACCTTCTGTCCTCTGTCTAGGCAAACTCCCTCTGGTTTTTAGTGGGAAGGTTTAGCCAACAGCAGCCAGTGACCTAAATTCTGCCTTTCTCCTTCTTATCCCACAAAACTTGGAACTGATCATATCCCAAGACAAATTCTGACTGTGCGCAGTGATAAAAAAACCCCAAAACATGAAGATTAAGAGAAAAAAACCCAGCCACTTTAAAGATGAGTGACAGAACTTGGTTACACCTTCTTTGAGTTTCAGGAGTTAGTTTCTTTTCAAGAGAAATATTAAATATTGGTCTTGCAGCCTGATGCCTTCCTTCTCCCTTCCTCTAGAGTGGGATCTTCTCTAGAGAGTGAAACTGCCAACTACACTCTGGGTTCACTGAGAAGCGGACAGGATCATGTTCTGCCCACCCTTTGATCTGCAATGCTCCTACACAGGGCGTTTACCCAGCTGGGTCCAGCTCTGCTCAGGTTTCCAGAAGAAACATAAGGGAGCCACAGGTGCATGAGGAGAGCCAGAAGAAGGGTGCTTATGTACCTGGTACTTTCTGGAACATAATATGGACGCTCAGGTAGGATTTCTACACCTCTTACTGTGTCTGCCTGAAACTCTTTCAGAACAAAGACTGCCATGAAGAATTTTCTCAAAATACATTTTTGACATTGCCTACAGATGCATTTTGCAGAAAGTTAGAGAGCTGAGATTCAGAATTCCCCTCTCTACAGCGCAGCTTCATTGCCTGGCAACACAAACCTGAGGTGAGGCTTCCTCTCTGCCCTGAGGGCTGAGGAAAGAAGGCAGACAGGCACCTTGAGAGGGAGAGAGCTGTTCTCAGGGATGCATGCAAGACTTCAATTTCATTTCACAGACCTAGCTCTTTTCTTTTGTGATCACTACAGCAGTTACTGCAGCAATCTGCTGCATAATTGTGTTTGGTAAAAGGTTAACATCACAGACAATGTTTGGGACATTTTTTTTGTTTTGCAACAGAAAATTATTTTTTGCCCTTCTTTTTAATTGATAAATTTGGTAAAGGTATATTTATTATATTTGTGCTTGTGAGGTCATCCTCTAATGTCATCCTCTAATTTCAGCTTGTAGGGAGCACCCAGAAGCGGAATTTAATTTTTTTTTCCAGTGAACTTAGCAACAGAAAAACCCCTCCATATATATATATTTTCTCTCTTTTTTAAAGGAGGATGCCTTTAGAGTGTTTCCACATATAGTCTTGTCATATAAGTACTTGGTCTGCAGTTCTGATGGGGAAAGAGATGGTGAAGCATCACCTACTTCATTCTTAGTGTGTCAGAATCTGGTGATATTTACACCATATGAGGGATTGAGGTCAGGCTGTTACAGACTGGTCAGGGACACCATCACAGCTCACCAAAATGATAGAAGGAGAGAGGTTTAACAAAGGAGAGAGGAATAACCTATTTAAGAGTTCTTTTAGCTCTACTCATCTACAATAAAGTCTTAAAAAACTAGTAGGCTTGTTAGATAAATATGTGTAATGAGCAGGAGAGGAGAGGAGAGGAGAGGAGAGGAGAGGAGAGGAGAGGAGAGGAGAGGACTGCTGACTAATGCTACATGAATGCTAAATATGAGAGGGCAAAAAGGGCTCCTCTTTGAGGTAATGCTCTGAAAATGTGTAAGTGACAAATATATATGTATTTTTTGAAAAAAAACCCCAAAACCCAACAAATATGCTCTGAAATCTAGGGAAAGCTCTTCCAGTGATATATTTGAAATAACATAGAAGTCTTCTGGTTTAGGTTACTCATCCATCATCATTTGCTGCTCTATGGAGATTACTCCCCTTGTAGACTGAGCAATTGAAAGAATGACAACGTCCTTGCAACATATGTAGCAGAATCTCTTAATACTGCCTTATAAAGAAAGGAATAATTGGTATTGGTTAAGAGTGTGTGGGGACAGGACACAGTTCTGTCACATGCAGGGTGATTTTACCTGAGAGGGTTTTGGCAATCTTGGGTTACTTCTGGGTCTGTTGCCTTGCTCTCTGCTAGAGCTGACCAATTTTGGCTGTAAAAAGGGAACCTCTCCTGAAGCTGGGGTTACAGAGCACAGGCATGGCAAAACAGTGGGAAGAGACCTGGCTGCAAGTTTGCGCAGCAGGATCAGCTGTCGCAGACATCTTTTTGTGAAAATCCTTTTCTTGGGACTTTTTCTTCCTGAGAAGCTGAGAGGCTTCAGGAACAAAAATGTAAACAATGGTTATCTGCTGCTGTGGAATGCAACAGGTCCATCTGTGACTGGACTCATCTGCTTGTTTGTAATTAATGGCCAATCACAGCAGAGCTGACTCGGACACAGAGTCCAAGGCAGTTGCCTTTGTTATCATTCTTTTCTATTCTTATCTTATCTTAGCTA